CCGTGTCCCCTGCATTGGCAGGCGGACGCTCAACCACTGCGCCACCAGGGAAGCCCCGGCTCTTGTTTTTTTAATCCAGTCTGCCACTCTGTGTCTTTTGACTGGAGCATTTAGTCCATTGACATTTAGGGTAATTGTTGATAGATGTGTATTTATTGCCATTTTAAACTTTGTTTTCCTGTTGTTTTATATTCTTTGTCCCTTTTTCTTTTTGTTTTTCCTTTTGTGGCTTGATGATATTCTTTTGCATCATACTTATGTTCTTTTCGGTTTTTGTGAATCTATTGTATGTTTTTGATTTGTGGTCACCCTGTTTTTCAAGTATGTTAAGCCCTTCCTATATATATTTGCCTTAGACTGCTGGTCATATAGGGTCAAACACATTCTAGGGGGAAAATTTTACATTTTCTTACTCTCCTCCCCAACATTTTGTGATTCTCATGTCCTTTTACATCTTCGTGTTTATCCCTTTGCTGTTCATTGTGGTTATCATCACTTTCGCAGAAAATCTTTTGATTTTTTTTTTTTTTTTTTTTTTAATCTGCGTAGTGGCTTTTTTTTTTTTGGCTGTGTTGAGTCTTTGTTGCTTTCTCATGGGCTCCCTCTAGTTGCGGCGATTGGGGGTTACTCTTTGTTGCGGTGCGCGGGCTTCTCATTGCGGTGGCTTCTCTTGTTGTGGAGTATGGGCTTTAGGCGTGGGGGCATCAGTAGTTGTGGCACGTGGGCTCAGTAGTTGTGGCTTTCAAGCTCTAGAGCACAGGCTCAGTATTTGTGGCGCATGGGCTTAGTTCTCCACGGCATGTGGGATCTTCCCGGGCCAGGGCTCAAACCCGTGTCCCCTGCATTGGCAGGCGGATTCTCAACCACTGTGTCACTGGGGAAGCAGTGATTTTAAGTGATTTATTTTCCAATTGTGATTTTCTCTTTCCTATAGATTTTTACTTCTTTTCTATTTAGAGAAGACCTTTCAATATTTCCTTTAGGATAGGTTTAGTATTGCTATGTTCTTTTAGTTTTTCTTGTCTGAGATTCTCTCTCCTTCTATTCTAAGTGATAGTCTTACTGGGTAGAGTATCTTAGGTTGCAGATTTTTTCCCTTTTAGAACTTTCAATATATCTTGCCACTCCCTTCTGGCCTGCAACATTTCTGTAGAGAAATCAGCTGATAGTCTTATGGCGGGGGGGTGGGGGTTCCCTTGTAATTAACTCTGTTTTCCTCTTGCTGCCTTTAGAATCCTCTCTTTAACTTTTGCCATTTTTATTATAATACGTCTTGGTGTAGGTCTTTTGGGGTTTATCTTGTTTGGGACCCTTGAGCTTCCGGTACCTGGGTATGTTTCTTTCTTTAGGTTTGGGAAGTTTTCAGCCATAATTTCCTCAAATACATTTTCTATCCCCTTTACTCTACTCTTTCGC